TAGGCAAATGGATAAAGAAATGGGTCCATCCAGACAGTGGAATATCATTCAGCCTTAAAAAATGAGCTACCAAGCCATGAAAAGGCAGAGAGGAACGTCAAGGGCAGTTAGTAAGCCAAAGAAACCAATCTGAAAAGGCTATGTACTGTAGATCCCAACCTTCTAAAAATGGCAAAATTGTGGAGACAGTGCAAAGGTTATTGATTGCCAGGGGTTAGGGGAAAGGGAGGGATGATTGGCAGAGCACAGAGGATATTTTAGACAGTGAACTACCCTATATATGACGCTATAATGGTGGATACATGTCATTACATTACGTATTTGTCTGAGTCCATAGAACATGAACATAGGACACCGAGAGCCCATCCCAGTGTAAACTGTGAACACCAAGTGATAGTGATGTACTGGTGTGAGCTCATATTTGTTAACAGAGGCTCTACTTTGGAGTGGGGGGTGTTGGTGACAGGGGAGGCTGTGCGTGTATCAGGGCAGGGAGAATATGGAAAATCTATACTTTGTGCTCAGTTTTACAATTATCTGCTCTAAAAAGTAAATTCAATTTAAAAAATGCAGAAAGGGAAGAAACCAAAATGCTAAATGTCATATTAAAAAAGAGTCCCCACTCCATCTATTGATTTAGTAATGGTCTTTCACAACCCCACCCAGTTCCCCAGCTCCTCAGGTGGTCCGAGGAAGCAGAGGCCTCACAAACACAAACCTTCTCTTCTGGGCCCCCTCTGTGCCCAGGACCCCAAGAGCCATCTCTGTATGGGGAGAAGGGTGGGCTACCTTCATCTCGAAGCTGCACCCAAGAAGGGGCTCTGCTCCTGCTGGCGAGCTGGCCTGTGGATTTGTTGGTGCCCTAGAATCTGAGGACACTAAGTTTGAGGATGAGCAGAGTGTGTTTGGCCTTCCTTCCTCTTAACTCTCTTAGCCCTTATAAGTGTTAAGGGGGACTGGAAAGGTCACGGATGAAGAGTGAGCCTGACTTTGGGCTTTCTGCTTCATCTTTGAACTTCACTTTCTTCATCTGCAAAGTGATGATTTTATCCACGGTAGGACTGTTGTTCAATGAAGAGGCTGTGTTGTCTAGCACAGTGTTTGGCATGTAGGATGTGTTAATAAATGCACACTCCACAGATGAAAGGATGGGGACTGGGTTAACCCCTAGCCCAAAGCAACTCCAAATAGAAAGAACAAATAAAATTCAGGCACAAGGATAAAATAGAGCATTAAGATACAACATCAGGGTAGGAAGGACAGTAACTTCCCGGAGCTGAGGCCCTGCCGTCACCTTGAGGGGACTTCTAGGCCTTGGCACTAGGAGAGGGGAGGCAGAGCTGGCAGATCCCCCTAGTAGAAATGGAGCTGAGAGTCTAGGAAGACTAAGGTGGAGTTTGTAGCAATAGCCATTAAAGCACTTATATCCAGAATATATAAGGAATGCTCATAGCTCAACAACAAGAACAAAAGGCACAAAGGATTTTTTTTTTTGGTGTGTGTGTGTGTGGGGGGGCGGTTACTGGGGATTAAACCCAGTGGTGCTTTACCCCTGAGCTGCATTTCAAGCCCTTTTTATTTTATAAGTAATCTGGGCTGGCTTCAATTTGTGATCCTCCCTCCTCAGCCTCCCAAGTTGCTGGGGTTACAGGTGTGCGCCACCATGCTTGGCAAAAGATTTGAATGGATACTTCACTAAAGATATAGGAGGGCAAGGCTGAGGCAGGAGAACAAGTTCAAGGTCAGCTTCAGCATTTGGTGAGACCCTGTGTGGAAAAGGGCTGTGGTTATGGCTCAGTAGTAGAGGACCTCTGGTTCAATCCCCAGTACCACACACAGGCATGTGCACACACACACACACACACACACAGAATAGGAAGACGATGGCAAATAAGCACTTGAAGATGCTCATGCACAACATAGTTACTAGAGAAATGCCAGTTAAAACCTCACTGAGAACCCACTATGTATGTACCTATTATAATAGATAAAGACTGTCTACACCAGGAGTTGGAAGGATGTGGAGAAATTGCAATGCTAATAAACTGCCAGTGGGAATGTAAAATGGTTGAACCTTTTCAGAAAACAGTTGGATAGTTTCTTAGGAAGTTAGCTATATACCAGCCATAAGACCCAGCCATTCTTAGCTCTAGAGAAAAGGAAATACGTCTGCTTTAATCAGCATTTTTACCGCTGTGACTAAAAGACCTGATTAGCACAATAGTAGAGGAGGAAAGTTTATGTGAGGGCTCATGGTTTCAGAGGTGTTAGTCCATAGAAGGCTGGCTCTATTCTTCCGGGCTCGAGGAAAGGCAGGACATCATGGTGGAAGAGTGTGGCAGAGGGAAGCAGCTCACATGACGAACAGGAATCAGAAAGACACCACTTGCCAGATACAAATATATTCCCCAAAGCCACGCCTCTAATGCCCACCTCCTCCAGCCACACCCTACCAGCCTTCAGTTACCTCTCAGTTATCCCAATCAGGGGATTAATTCACCGATTGGGTTAAGATTCTCACAACCCAATCATTTTTCCTCTGAACTTTCTTCCATTGTCTCACATGTGAGCTTTTGGGGGACACCTCACATCCAAACCATAACAATGTCCATGCAAACATTTGAATGCAAATATTGATAGCGGCTTTATTTGTAATAGCCCCAAACTGGAAGCATCTTGTATGCGCATCAACATGTGAATGGATAAACGAAATGTGCTGTGTCCTTATAATTCAATACTGTGTGGCAATAAGAAGGAATAAACTATTGATACACAAAAGAACTTGGATATATCTCAAAATAATTATGCCAAGCGAAAGAAACCAGATGAAGAGGAGTACATGCTCCAGATTCCACTTACAGGAACTCTCGACAACACAAAGTAATCTGTGATGACAGAGGGGAGCAGCGGTTGCCCGGGGACAGGAGAGGAAGGAGCTTGGGCTTGCAAAAGGCCCGCAGAGCTGTGGACTCGGTGCTGGGTGTGTTTACTATCTTCATTGTAGGGTGGTGATTTCACAGGTGCATGCATATGTCAAAACTTATCAGATCTCACCCTTTAAATGTGTGCAGTTTATTGTGTGACACTTAAACCTCATTAAAGCTGTTTTTAGAAAAGATCACTCTAGCTGTAGTTTAGAGAATGGATTCTAGGGCAGAAAGTCAAATTGCAGGGGAAAATGTCCTCTTCCTCACTCCTCTTGACGGGGTGTTTTTTTTTTCTTTTTTCTTTTTTTGGTGGTTCCAGGGATCAAACCCAGTGGAGTTACCTCCACCCCACCCAGCCCTTCTTTTTATTGTTTTTTTGAGACCAAGTCTCACTAAGTTGCCTAGTTGGGGCTTGAACTTGAGATCCTCCAGCCTCAACCTCCAAACTGCTGGGGTTACAGATGTGCACCACCCCGGCTTCCCCCTAAAAGTTCATTCCCTTACTCCCCTCACTTTCCTCCTGGCTTTTGAGTCTGGATTATTCCAGTAATAGGTGATGGCGCTTTCTCACTCCCCTCTGCTGAGCATGTCTATAAATCTGATAGCCTAAAGGCCCTGGGAAAGCAGAGGGAAGCTAGTGGCTTGCTTTTTTTCTTCTTGTGGAACCCCAGCCTTTTCTCAGCCTGGGCCACTTAGGCTCAGTGCAGGATTCAGGTGAGGATGGGCAACCCACCTGTCAGCCATGGCAGAGGCCAGTTTCCCCAAATAGGGGCGCAAGTGCAGTCTCATCCTATTGATAGTGTTTGCAGAGAGCCAGGTCACAAGAGATGGAGGAGTGTTTGTGGGTGGATTGATGCTGTACCGACTGGAGGGGCAGTTGGAAGGCACTCAGCAGCAGTGTCCTTGGCAGGAGGGCAGAAGGGACTGTGAGCCACGCATCTTCATGGGAGAGGCCTTACTGTTGAAGTCCTAGGCACACGGCGTGTGTGGGGAAGTAAGGCAGAATGGAGGGCAGGCCAGGTGGCAGGAGGAGATCCAGGGCAGGGGGGCCTTGGGTTTGAGCCCCTGAACATGTTGTGTGTTAGAGGGTGGAGGAAGGTGCTCCCTCATTATGTGAGGGGCCCTGTGTGTGTGACATGAATTGAAAACTCAGAGATTAAAAACTCCCAGTCCAGGCTCTAGCCCTCGGTAAGTACCTTCTTTCCTAGAATGTGACACTTGCATTTCTTGTTTTTTTTTCCTATCTACAAAGGATTTTTCTATCCATTTACTACACGCAACATAGATGAAATATTTTCCTACTGACGCGGCTTTGTATGGGATTGTCCTCGCTCTGTGACCGACGGTTTGGACACAAGTGGCTTCTTTCCTTGCTTTGTATCTGTGCTCAGTGGTCAGAGTGGTGCGAAAGGATGCCAGCAGCCCCAGGGATGAAGCTCAAGCACAGAGAACCGGAGGGAGCAGGTCCCGGGCCTCAGAGAAAGGGGAACTGGAAGAGAGCGTTGGTGGACAGGGTACAGAGAGAGGAGGAAGTGATAAAGTAGCAGGAAGTCTTGGGAGGTTGTCACAATGTCCACTTGAAGGTGCTATTCATTGTGCTGTTTGCTTTATGAGCAACGGGGAGAGGGCGTTGGGTTAAACCCTGACAAGCCGAGTTCCCTTCTGTCTGGGCCCACAGGGTTACACCGACTCATGAGGTGTATCTCGCATCTCCTTTTCTGCAGGCAGTCTCAGGCTGCTCCTGAGCATCTGTGGAGGGCGGAAAGGGGCAGTTATATAAATATGGGAACCTTTGAAAGTTCTGGGCAGGGTTGTGGGTTGACCCAGCGAGGTATTCTGAACATGAACATGACAGTGTGGAGGACAGTGTGAGGCCTGAAGTCCAGCCTGGTGGTGGTTTTCTGCAGTTGAAAGGACTGACCTTCAGAAGGGCGAGAGGGTGATGGAAATACATTTCTAGTGACAGGCTGATTGCTGGGGGAGGGGTGGCATCTCGCTTCACTCATTGGCTGTTTTATGACTTGGTTTTCGCCCATTCCCTTTCTGACTCACTGGTGTGTTCTTGCCTTGCAGGAGCCTGTGTGAAATGCAGCAAAGGAGTATTTGGGGCAGGCCAGGCCTGCCAGGCTATGGGGAACCTCTACCATGATGCCTGTTTCACCTGTGCGGCTTGCAGTAAGTGTGGGTTGTGTGGTGGAAGAAGAGGACTGTGGGGACCGAGGAGGTGGGGAGAGGGAAGAGCATGGGCCTCATGCATGCTATGCAAGCACTCCACTACTGAGCCCATCTCTAGCCAGAAGTGTCCTTTAAGCTAGATTCTTACCACCAGCACGAGGGTGTTCAGCATAAGGTGATGCATCAGAATGTACTCAAGGTCGCCTGTGATTTTGGCGACAAGTTGCATGGATCCCTGACAATGGGGAGAGGCCTCAGAAGAATGAAGGGAGGGGGATGTTGGGGTTCCACAAGTCTACCCTGTTGTCAGTTATCTCCCCCACTGTATGGACCACTTAACTAGAAGGTTGTTCATCAGTCACTTAACTCTATGTGAGGCAGGCCACTTTATAACTCTTTGACTCCAATCTTTGACTTAGAAGCTGCTGTATGAATGTGAGGTGTGTGTATGTGTTTGTGTTTATGTCATTGTGTGTGTGCATGCATGCCTGTGTACTCTTTGCTCGTTAGCACTGTCACTAGGGGACTGCTGGTGGTGATGCACATGGCTCATTCACAGCAGTGCAGACTGTGTGTAGTGGTGGTGCAGTTGATCATGATTGCTTTGTGGAGCTTGACCAGGTGTCTTTTTGCATACTTCAGGGCGTGCATTAAGATTATAGTGGGAAATCAGGAGATGGATCCTTTGGGTCCTTTAATGGCAGCTGCCCCAGTGAAAGAGTCCATCATGCAGGATGGGTGCCAAGTCTGACCAAAGCATGAATTGTGCTTATTTTCTGATTTCTACCAAGGATTAATTTTTGAGGAGCATTTTTGGAAAATGTCCCACTGATGTTTTCCAGTTCTATACTGAGATTATCAGCTCTCGGTGAAAAGGAATCATTACACAGAATGTCAAGGATGAAGGGGTCTTTGTTACTGTCTGGATGGTGAAGCTCCATCCTGGCAGCTCATTAGAATTACCTGGGAGATTTAAAAACCAGTGAGCTCCACCGGGACCAGCAGAATCAGAAGGGGTGGAACTCCTAGAGGGGGTCAAGGATATTTTTTCAAAGCTCCTCAGGTGCCTCCCGTGGGTGGTTTGGACTGAGTACACTGATTTAGTATCCGGCACCTCATTTCCAAACCTCCTGGCAAGGGAAGGGACGAACCTGCTTGTGGCTGGCTTGTGGCTGGTTTGTGGCATGACCCGATTCCCAGTGCAGAGCTGCCCAGTGTATGGACCTGACTCCCTACCTGCTGAGCCCTGAAGGTCCAGGCAGAAGCTTGAGTTCTCTCCTTGCACTTGAGTCCTCACTCCGGTTCCCCCAAAACACATGCCTTAAAGTTCAGTTCATGTGTTGGTCATTGTTCACTTTGTAGGGAAAAGCTGGAAGAGATTTTGACCTGGAAATCTGGGTGTCCTCAGTGGAAACACCTAGGAGTTGTGTGGTCTTCGATTGTCTTGGTCTTTGAGTTCTGTGACACTGTCACCAGGGGACTGCTGGTGGTGATGCATACGGCTCGTTCACAGCAGTGCAGACTGTGTGTGGTGGTGATGCAGTTGATCATGGTTGCTTTGTGGAGCTTGACCAGTTTTGCATCTAGTAAGCAAATTGATTTCTGCCTTCCGATGGCCTGTACATGTGGCTCTTTGCATTCTCCCAGTTGGCCATGTGAGTTGACATGAGTTCAATAAAAATCTTTGACTTGTGTTTGTGATTTATCTGAATGGGAGTTGCAATCAGATAGTCCTTTAAAAATTATCTCTGGCCAGGTTCTGTGGTGCATGCCTGTAATCCCAGAAGCTCAGGAAGTGAGACAGAAGGATTGCAGGTTTAAGGCCAGCCTCAGCAAATTTGCAAGGCTCTAAGCAACTTAGCAAGACCCTGTCTCAAAAAGGGCTGAGGATGTGACTTGGTGGTTAAGCGCCTCTGGGTTCAATCCCCTGTATCTTCCCCCCAAATTATCTTTGACCTTTGATTTCCACAGGTATTTATCAATATTTGCTCTGTTTACCAAAAGAAAGCAAATAAATATGAATCAGAGGTTGTTTTTCACCTTAAGCAGTTACTATTTGTACTAGGGAAGCCTTTGGGGAGAAAAGCCTATGGATGAGTGTCTCGGTGTTCTGGGCTGCTGTAACGTCACAGCACCTTGGACTGAGTGACTTACAAACAGACATTGATTTATCATGGTAATAGAAGCGGGGAAGTTCATTATTGAGGTGCCAGCTGATTTGGTGTCTGGGAAGGATGTCTCTTTCTGGTTCCTAGATGGTCATCTCTGGGTGCTTATAAAAGGGGGACTGAGCTTTCTGGGGCCTCTCAGAAGGGCACAAGATCCATTCATGAGGGCGTCACCTCCCAAAGGCCCTACCTCCGTACCCACTGTGTTGGAGGTTGGGCTTTCAACAAAGAGATTTTAAGGGACACCATTGTAGGTGAATCAGCTGGTTCTACCTGTGGCTGCTGGAATAGCGCTCTATTCCTTCATGGAATAGGTTTACATTGTTTCCAGTTGTAGCCAGCGCAGATACTTAATGACAGAGCTGATGTGGGTTTTCTTGATATGTTCGTAGTCTAGTCCCTGTCCCCTCACTTCCTGCTTCCTATCACAGCTAAACTGGATTTCTCTTTCCCACTTCCACACCTGTAGCCACACTGTTCCCTGCAGTCTCTTCTTCTCACTCATTTTGTGCATTTAAAATCTGTCCAGCCTGAAGACCCCACTCAGGTTCCTCCTCTTGCAGGAAGGAACCTTGGCTTCTGAATCTGGCACATTTTCCTTGCTTGTTCGTGACGTCATGCTCTGGTGCCAGCACACAAGCCCTAGAACAGAGCTGTTGAAGGAGCTGTGCTTGTGCGCAAGCTCAGCAGGGTGCTGTGTGCCATGGGGCAGACACTCCTTCTGTCACCCGCGTCTCTCCATTGTATGGAGCAGTTGGCATATTGGAGAGCCAGGCATGTGTCGAAGCAGCTTCTTTTGGGCACTAGAAGTCATTTGTCTTTGTTCAGTTGACTTATTGCTGCCCTTTAACTTGGCTTTCAGCAGGGGGAGGAGGCGCCCGGTGCTGTGTTCCAGCTCTGCAGGTCCTCGAGTGTGTCTCAGTGAGCTTCAGCACCATGGAGACGGCACACTGAGGGGCCAGGGAGGGTCCAGTTTACCCCTTTCTTAGAAGAGAAAATGGGGGCAGAGAGTGGAGAGACGTTTTCAAAGAGCCAGGAATGGTGGTGCATGCCTGTAATCCCAGCCACTCATGAAGTTCAAGGCCCAGCCTCACAAGTTCAAGGCCAGCCTCAGCAATTTAGCAAGATCCTGTCTCAAAAATGACCAGAGGTGTGGCTCAGGGGTAAAGCACTCCTGGGTTCAATTCTCAGTTCAAAGAAAAAAAGAGAGATGTTTTCAAGGTCCAAAACCTGGCAGCTGAACTAGCACCAGCAACTAGGGCTCCTGCCTCTAGGTTTGACTTATATGTTCCCATTTCTCTGACTCACGCAAAATAAGATGTTTTTTTTTGTTCTTTTTCATGTTCTGATAATAGAGCCTGATTAGTGTATTTCAGAATATATGTGTATGTGCTTTTTTGGTTTGTTTTTTTGGGTGCTGGGGATCAAACCCAGAGCCTTGTGCATACTGGGCAACTGCTCTACCACTGAGCTACATCCCTAGCCCCCTATACATTTTCTATTTTTCCATTTTGTTTTTCATTTTAAACTAGAAAATAATCTAGCTTAAAACCTCATATAGGTCTGGAGGGTTAGGGTTAGGGTTAGGGTTAGGGTTAGTGGTAGAGTGTATCCTTAGCAAAATGAAGCCCTTGATTAATTCCTTGGCCACACCTCACAAAGAAAACCAAACAATGCTCCGCACTGAGAAAAACTCTACTACATACATGGTATTTATCCTTAAATTTTTTATTTTTCCTGCAGTGCTGGGAATTGAACCCAGGGCCTCATGCATGGTAGGCAAACTGTTGCTGAGCCTCTCTCTATGGTATTTAAAACTAGATTATGGCTATATGTGTATATCTGTAGGTCTGCACACACATTTCTTGGATTTTATTGATTCGCATTTAAAATATAATGTTGAGGGCTGGGGATGTAGCTCAAGCGGTAGCGCGCTCGCCTGGCATGCGTGCGTCCCGGGTTCCATCCTCAGCACCACATACAAACAAAGATGTTGTGTCCGCCGAAAACTAAAAAATAAATATTAAAATTCTCTCTCTCTCAAAAAAAAAAAAAGTATAATGTTGAGATACAGTCAAGCTCACATACATTTATAAAGCCAGGCCGACATCTCACTGGTTTGACTGGTAAAGATAGCAAGGTTCTTAAGAGGTTCAAACAGTTTATTACTTAGGTACTGCTATGGTTGGGGTGTTCGTCCCCTCCAAAACTCATGTTGAAACTTAATCCCTGAAGTCATGTGTTGTTGGGATGCAAACAGCATTAGATGAGGTCAATGAGGGTGACGCTCCATGATTGCATTAGTGGCTCTGCATTAGTGGAGGAGACCTGAGCTGATACAGGCTTGTTCCATCTCACCAAGAGATGCCCTGTGCTGCCTGGTACTGTGCCAAGTCCTCATTACCAAAAAGGACCTCATCAGATATGGATCTCCACCCTCAGACCTCCAGAACTGTGAGCTGAATAAACCTGTATTCTTATAAACTACCAGTCTGTGCTCTTCAGTTATAACAACAGAAAATGGACCAAGACACATACACAACACAAAGAATAGGCCAAAGGTGCCAGTATCCTGGGTCCTTGTCCCAGAAACTGAAGGAATGATACAAACCAGAGAGGTTGGGTGACTATGGCGCAAGTTATGGGATGTTGAGAAACATTGAAGGATGTAGTGAAGTACTCCCAGAGCCCGCAGCTCTGTCCTGAATGGAGGGCAGAAAGCCCCCTCCCTCACGAGACAGAGGCTAGTGGAAGGCTCCTGCTCGCATCTTCCTGGGGCCTGCAAGGCTCCATGGTATTCTGCCAGGAGTCGGCAAGCCTTTGCCTATAGGC